GGTAACTTAAGAATGGTCTAGCAAAAGATACACACACACACACACACACACACACACACACACACGTATATTTATACATTCATACACAATTGTGAAGGGTTTTCAGGTATTTGTTGTATTATTCTTTCAACTTTTCCATATGTTGACATTTTTCCCAATAAAAAGAGAAAACAATAAGAGTGAAAACAAATCGCCATTTACCCTCAAGTTTAAAAATTCAGAGACAACATCATATCTGAAGCCTGATAACTGTTTCACTGAGAGGTGGGGCCAGGTCTGGTATATTAATCACCCAGTGCTTACATAAGATAAAGCTCTAGAACTTGCTCTAACCCTTGGGATTCCAGGAAACAGATGGATGACAAGTGAAAGACAACTCAAATGAGATTTCTGCACTCCTCCAGGTTAAAAACAAACTTAGAAGCCCAAACCCTCATTTTCAGCATCTGTGGCTGAAGAATGTATGTGTAGATAGTTGTGCATTTTAAAAATATAGCTGGTTTATACTAACCACAAATTATTCACTTTGTTGTAATCACCAGTCAGTTATATAGACTAAAATGCTAATAGTTTTTAATACCTTATAAATATTTTTACTTATTTTTAAAACTGTAAATTTGAAATGTCTTCTTTAACAACTTGCTTGCATATAATATACTCCTTGACTTGTGGTAAAATTTCAAAATGCACCCATAACCAGTATTTATATCTGTAAATCATACATGCTAAAGCAGTAGCTTTTTAAAAATCTTGGGGAAAATGTTCAGTTAAATCTGTTCACATCAATGCTATGCAAAACAAGTGTAGTAAGTAAGGGTCTCAGGACACTCCTTCCTTAAACTCTATACAAACCATTGGGAAAACCTGCCATTACCTGATTGGTAAGTTGATAGTGATAAAGGAGATCTGGTTACATAATTAATCAAGGGGATGTAGCTGAGGGTGGAGTGTCCTGTTCTCCACCCTTCCCTCCTAAGGCAGAGTGGAAGAATTTCCCTTGTAAAACTTTAAACTTTATTTGAGCCTCTGTCCTGCCTGAACATAGATTGGCTTCCCATCTGCCTTTACAGCCAAGGAGTCCTGATGGAAATGCGTTAGAAGGATTCAATTTATTCCCAGTTTTTGGACCCATTTCTTACATTCTTCCAGTCCCTGCTTTGGGTTGAATCCATTCTGATGATCTCAGTCTATAAATAAAAAATCAGATAAAGTAGATGTGTTTCTGAAAAAAAAAGCATGGAAATCAAATAATTATATTGGAGTACATGGGCATTGAAAGAATACCAAACAGATTATTTTATAATATAAATAGTTCAGGGTTTTCAAATATTTGTGAGATAATGTATTTTCCATATTTATTTATTTATTTAAACTAAGATGTTATGAGCACACAGATTTATGCCAATGTTTAACATAATCTTTTAAAGCCAGTCACCACCACTACCACCACATCCACCACCAAAAAAACAACAACAACAACAAAAAAACACACACCAAAAAAAGCCACACAAAACAAAAAACACACACACCAAAAAAACAAAACAAAAAAGAGTCAGCATACACATATTAAGAAAAACACCAATCTGACTCTTGCTAGAGTGCTTTAGATTGTATATAAAGAGAGTTTTCATTCTATTTTTTATTTTATGTATGTTTAAAATTCAAGAGGATTTGACATCCCAACTCTTTCCTTTTTTATGATTAGCAGAACACAAATTGAAATAATAATAAAGCACAAATGTTGCCATATTGGAAGGTTCTATCCAGCAGAAAGAAAGCCACTAATGCAGTCTCTAATAATGTCCTTCCCCCTTTGAATAAGAAGGTTTGTGTTCTGACATTAAATGGATTAAGCAGCAAGCCTGCTGAGAAAAATACTCAAAGGTATTAAACCCTTGCAGTGTTGGTTTAACTGTAAGTACTGTAAAATAAGATTAAGTCTGAGTTTGGAAGAAGAACTAGATTTGACGTAAGACTAAAAGGTAACAGTATTCACAGATGCCTGAATTAATGGTTCAGTGAAAAATATAATTAGCACAAGATTTGAAAATATGTCTTCTTTCGCAAATGTCTTCTGAGAGTAATCAGTGCTGTAGACTGATGTAGTGGAAAGAGCACTGGGCAAGGGGCCAACATCTAGGAATTCAAGTTTGTTGCTCTAGCACTCGCTAGTTCTATGACCTTGGATAAGAAATTTCTACTCTCTGAGTGACAGTATGGTGGATGCGGCCAACTGGCAACCATTCTCCTCTATAGAGTGTACATTTCTGCACTGCAGAAGCTGGAAAGCTAAAAACTGCATTTCCTAGATTCCTGTGCTATTAGAGTTGCAGATGCAAATTAGGTTCAACCAATTGGATGCACTTGCTGAGATTTGGAAAGCAGAAGTCAAGTGGGGGTCATCTTCCTACTGCTTGCATTGTTTTCTGCTAATAAGTGTGATTGTGAAGATACCAGTTTTATGTGACAGGTTCCAGCATCCAACTTCAAGGGTTTTGAGAGGCTATTGTGGTGGCAGCAGCGGTGTTTTTTTTTTTCAGATCCCTTGACACGACAGTAGTGACTTCTGGATTCCTCACCTTTCTGACTTAGTAGTTCCCAATAGGTCATTCTGCAGTGTTCTGTCCTCGACACTCACCCCAGAACCTCATTCTCTGCCTTTCTAATTATTTTTTAAGCTTTTAATTTTCTCTTTAAGTAGACTTTCTGTCTACTTAAAGTACCTGGAGCTTATTCTGTTTCCTGTAGTGAACCCTAGGTGACACACACATGTGCAAATTTTATCCACACCTTACAGGTGTGAATAAAATTGAGAAGACCAAACCCAACTATCTAAGTATATTTAATATTGTTTCCTCTTTTTTTGAAAGATGGTCATTCCTGATACGAGCAGCTTTCAAAATCGCCTCATGGTATTTTCTTGTCATTAATTTTATTCAGATAATAATGGTCTAAACACATTTGTAATGTACTGGTTCTGTTGGGCAAATAACCCAGAAAAAGCAATTGCATATTCAATAGGTATATAGATATTCCAAATCTCTTGTTCTCAAAAATTACCATGAGTTAACAGTGACACTTTTTAAAAATATGTTTCTATTGATCTTTAGAGAGAGAGAGGAAGGGAGAGGGATAGAGAGATAGAAACATTGATGAGAGAGAGAGATCATCAATCAAGCTGCCCTCTTGCACATCACCTACAGGGGATGATTGAGCCCACAACCTGGTCATGTACCCTCATCAGGAATCAAACCAGTGACCTCTGGGTTCATGGGTGGACACTCAACCACTGCAATACACCAGCTGGGTGATACCTTTCTTGTAATTAAAATGAATAGTTATCACTTCAATTTTATATTTTCTTAATATTCCTTTTTTATGATGGCAATAATTAGAAGCATTAAGGAAATTCTATAAGGAAATGGACAGATAAACATAGCTCCATGTCTGTTAAGATTTGAGTAGATTTGGAAAAATTTTGCTTTGTGTTCTCTGAGCTTATACTTTCTAAAGGAGTAAAATAATCCTTTCTAATCATCTTTTGTCTTTTTTTTTTTCTTTTTCAGAAACACTTGTTAGATCTGTGGATCCAAGAGACTTTTTGCCTTTAAACCCGCCCACATGCCCAACCCCCATTAGGGAGCCAAAGCTCTTCAGATCAGTTATTTCTGACGAGGCCTCTCTGCTCTCTGGTTTCAGCCTGGCTCCTGACTGTCTCCATTTATGTTTGTGTCTTCTTCTGTGCCCTTTCGACTTGTGCTGAGTCCTCTTCTGCTTCTCCTAAAAGAACCCGTTCCACTGGCTTTTCTTCCTTGAGAATTTTTTTTCTAGTTTTGGGCCCTTAGGACTTAAATTCATTTGAGCCTCAACTATGATAAACACCTTTTAGTTCTCCTGGGGAAGAGAATTCAGAAAACAAGAGATTTACACTGAGACCCCATTACTTTCTAACATAATTTTAAATATTGGACAGAATAAACTATCGAATTTTCTAGTGGTCTGTGGATAAAAGCTTATTTATTTACTTGCACATATATAAATAAACCCTACTTTCATAATTTCATCTATAATTTCTTTATAGAACAATTCTAACCTTAATATAATCGTTCCTAATTTTCAGACTTACCTCAAATTTCCCCATCCCATCTGAAATGCTACCACAAGTTTTGTTCTGAAAATGCTTTGTTCTGAATACACTAGAGGCCCTGTGCATGAAATTCGTGCACGGGCTGGGGGTCCCCTCAGCCCAGCCTGTACCCTCTCCAATCCGGGACTCCTCAGGGGATGTCCGACTGCCAGTGTAGGCCGGGGATTGGGCCTAAACTGGCAGTCAGGCATCCCTCTCACAATCCAAGACCACTGGCTCCTAACTGCTCACCTGCCTGCCAGCCTGATCACCCCTAACCACCTCTGCCTGCCGGCCTGATCGCCCCTAACCACCTCTGCCTGCCGGCCTGATTGCCCCTAACTGCCCCACCCTCCCGCTGGCCTGGTCACTCCCAACCACCTCCCCACCAGCCTGATTGCTCCAAACTGCTCCCCTCGCCAGCCTGGTTGCCCTTACTGCCCCCCTGCTGGCCTGGTCGCCCCCATCTGCCCGCTCTTGCTGGCCTGGACACCCCACGCAGCCTGCTGTTCAGTCATTTGGTTGTCTCTCACTAACCCCTCTGCCGGCCTTGTCACTCCACATAGCCTGCTGTTCAGTTGTCCGGTTGTTTCTGTTGTGACGGCCCCTGTTTTTTTATATATGAGGATATGCCACTTCCCTTCTCAAGAATATATAATTGCTCCTTGTCCATTAAATCAATTTGAAATAGCTATCCTAAGATACCCCATCAACTAATTTAACTTTACTTTCTAATTGTATCTTCCCCATTGCATAACACATGCCTCCACTTCAATCAGACCAATTAGGGAGAAAAAGAGAGAGAGACAGAGAGACAGAGAGAGACATCTATGTGAGAGAGAATATCCATCAGTTGCCTTCCAGGAATAGAACTTGCAACCTTTTGGCGTACAGGACAATGCTGCAACCAACTGAACCACCATCCAGGGCCATACCAATTTTCTTATGATTTCCTTTTCATCCTCATATTTAATTGAAAAACCTACTCTCTACTTATTCCAATTAAACCCATCAATCCCCAAAAGTACTTGCTTGTTCCATAAGTTCTTCATATTAACATGTCTTACATTATTTATAATTTTTTCATTAATGATCCATATTTCCCATGAAATTGAAGAATATGCTGGTGAAATATTAAGTACTTAATATGTGTTGAATTAATATTGAACATTTTATTGTTGATGTTACATATCCTAAAACTTACATTCATGTTATGTTTAATTGTTGGTTCAATCACTCATAGGTTTTCTCAGCTACAATGTCCCGCTTTTCAGATGTCAATAACAAGTTTGGTATGTTACTTGTCATTCAAGATGAACTATGTAATTTAGTTTTCATGCTGACGCCAGATCATTTCACTAATGGCACAGTATACTATTCATTTTATAGTCATATAGGATGCATACTTGCAACAAATAAATACGGAGTAGTGGAAACAGCATAAAGAAGAAGACGTGATCCTTGCCTTTTCACATCCAGAAAACCTACAGGGTACGCAGGGTGAGGGGAGTGAGCAGGAAATCACCAGCGAGTATGATGAGTCTGAGGGGTATGGTAAGTACAAGATACTCTGAAAGCACATACAGAGGACACCTAATCTAAACTCAGGGGTTCCGAAGGGACAAGCTGATCCCTGAAGAGTAGGCATTACCCCAGCAAACAAGGCTTGGGAAGGTCAGAGGAATCCTGGGTATGATCTGAAAGCAGTGAATACAGGGAAAGTTAATTTAATTTCTTAAAATTTCACTGGCATATTTAGTTCAGATTCAGATTTTCTAAGATTCCAGTTCACATCTTAAAATCGAACAAAATTACCTCAAACCAAAAGGACATGTTGGGTATATTTTTTAAATGATATTTCATAAGTTATTATTATTCCTAAAATATTTGCAAGGGGAAAACTATTTTTCATCCTGTCTTAGGTCACATCCCTGAAAGCTTTCACAGAGGGAGTGCGCTCAGGGGAAGGGATGTGAGAAGTAGGAGAGGACAGGACAAAGAGCTAACCAGGAGTGTGGCTGCAGCGGGACCCCCCCTTCAGCCAGTGACTCGGGAGCATGAATTGAATCACAGAGTTGGTCCCACCTTGAGGTAAGAAGTCTGGCTGCTATTAGGGTGGGCATGAGGGAGGATAATCTCCAGGATGCGGAGGCTGTGGCTTCCACGGGCACAGGAAATTTTTAAGGAAAAGGGGAAGCAGTGAGCCAGGCAAGCCAACATTCAGCGCGTCAGGGGCATGGGTGCAACTGGGTGTAGCAGCTGGTAAAGGGGATCTGTTTGTCTCGTCAGTCCTCACCTGAGGATATTTTCCCATTGATTTTTAGAGAGAATGGAAGGGAGAGGGAGAGACACAGAAAGAGAAACATCAATGTGAGAGACACATGGATTGGTTGCCTCCCACACACGCCCCGGTGGGATTGAGCCTGCACTGAGGTACATGCCCTTGACCAGAATCAAACCCTGGGATCCTTCAGTCCATCGGCTGATGCTCTATCCACTGAGCCAAACTGGGTAGGCTATTATGGAGATATTTTTAAGAGGCACAAACAGCTCAATGCACTCATGTAACACAAAGTGCACTAATGAGGAAAATGCTGATAAAGTGGGCATTTGTCTTACATAAGCTCTGTAGATGGCTTTTGATTAAAAAAAGTTTTAACACATTTGCATTTACTTTCCATATAGCTTATGGAAACTGCAATTATTTTTAATTTTCAAAAATGAATAAAATCTCTATTTCCCATTTAATCCATTTTTATAAAAAATGAAAATTAGTATTTATTGAATAATAGCCCTGTGCATTTTACATACTTTTATTTAGTCTTACAATCCTGTGAAACAGGTACCTTTTTAAAAAATTGAATTAAAATTCACCACTTAAAAGCCTATGAGTGGTTTTTGGTGTATTCACAAGGTTATGAAACCATCAATATTATCTAATTCCAGAACATTTACAGCACCCCGAAAAGAAACCCTATATTCATTAGCAGTCAATCTCCATTCCCTCTCTTGCCAGCTCTTACAAAACTATTCATCTACTTTCTCCCTCTGAAAATCTGTTTATTCTGGCCACTTCATATAAATGGGATTGGGTTTAACTTCTTTTATTTAGCGTCATGTTTTCATCCACGTTGTAGCGTTGATCAGTATTTCATTCCACTCATCAGTTGATGGACAAATGGATTTTTTTAACTTTCTGGCTAATTTGAACAATGCTACTATGAACATTCATGTACAAGTTCTTGTGTGGACACATGTTTTCATTTCTCTTGGGTCTATATCTAGAAGTAAAATTGCTGGGTGTATGCTAACTATGTTTTACAAGGGACACTACACCGTTTACATTCCCATTAGCAATGTATGAGGGTTCCAACTTCTCCATACCCTTGTCAACACCTTAGTGTTCTTTTCACCACAGCCACCGTAGGAGGTATGAAGCGATATTTCATTGTGGTTTTGATTTTCATTTCCTTAATGAATAATGATGTTCAGTATCTTTTCATGTGTTTATTGGCTATTTGTATATCTTCTTTGGATAAATTATATTCAAATTCTTTGCCCATATTTATTGTTGTATGAGCGTTCTTTATATATTTTGACTACTAGACTCTTATCAGATACATGATTTCAAAATATTCTCTTCCATTCTGTGGGTCTTTCTTAATAGTGTCCTTTGATGCACAAAAGTTTTTAATTTTGTTGAAGTCCAATTGGTCAACTTTTTCTGTTTGTGCTTTTGGTGTCATATCTAAGAAGCCATTGCCAAATCCAAAGTCATAAAGATTTGGCCTATATTTTCTTGTAAGAATTTTATAGTTTTAGCTATTACATTTATGTAATTGGTTCACTTAAAGTTAATTTTTGTGCATGATGTGTGGTAAGGGTCCAACTGCATTCTTTTGCATATGGATATCCAGGTATCCCAGGATCTTTGTTGAAAAGATTATTCTTTCCCCCATTGAATTGTGTTGCACCCTCCCTCCAATATTAATCATTTTCATCTTCTTTTTAAACAGTTTCATGAATCCTCTCATATCACTTCCAAGCCTCCTCTAATTTTTTTTTATTTTGACATAGCTGAAGCGTTATTTCTTGCACAATACAAGTCTTATACCAAATTAGGAAATATTACTTCCTCACATCCCCTTATAACAACTAATTTTCTCTTCAGATTTGTATCAGCTTGTCAAAGAGTTAGAGGCAAACTTCGTGAAAATAATATAATAAGTGTGAATAATTTTTTTTGTAATTCTCATTTTGTGGAGCATTTACATTAATATTATTTAAAGTATATATGTGTGTAGTGAAAATGGCCACATTAAAGGTATATTCTGTTGAGGTTTCCTCTATACAGAGATGATCAATCTCCTGAGCAGATAAAGATGAACTATTATTCATTACATAAACATTTATGGAATGCCTGCCACTGCACTATCATCACTGGTGCTAGAAAAACTAACAGCTCCTCTTCTCAAGGGACTTACCTAGGAATGGAGAAAGATCAGTAAACCTGTGATTACTTACATTCAAGCCCTGTGGCGGGAGCATGTGTTACAGGAGAACAGGGAGCAACTCATTTAGATCTTGAAAATAAAATAAGTTCTAAAAAATGAGTTACATGATAACACATAACATCTTTTGACCCATGTTTCTCAACATGGTGAAGTACAGGGGACCCCCACCCTTTATTCCTTGCTTCTCTGCCCTAAACCACTGAAAGGCAGCATTTCTGGGACAGTCAGCTCTGTAGATACAAACTCTGTATACCCTTGGGGTGTCCCAAAACCAAATTAGGAAAGAGGTTAGGAAGGAAGAGAGTTTGCAAGCTGTTCTGCTGCAGAGGTAAAGCCATGTTCTCCCACTGATTTATCTAGCAGTTTCTCCAACAGTTCAAGGCTTGCCCAGCCTCCATAGCAGCTTTCCACAGAACACATGCTCAGGGGGCAACTAGGGAATGATACAGGGCACACAGGCCTCTATACATTTCTAATAGTCTCAGTTAGACTCTGGGATACAAAATAAAAAATGTGATGGATTATATAGTCAAAATACAAAATTGTTTATAAATTCGGCATTTGTAGAACAAAAAAAAATTGGGAATCGTGTGTCTTTTAAAAAATATATTTTGAGAAAAACATTTGCCCATACCAGTTACTACACTCCAAACCAACAGATGACACATATAACCTGAAGCTAATAAAACTGATGACAGATATATCTATTTGAGACTATGGGCTGTGACTCCCAGACAGCTGGAGAATGATTTACTGGAACAGTTGCTAAATACAGTAGCTGCCTTGATCAACATTACAACAATTGGCAATAACTGTGTCCATAGCAGAGCGTGAGCTAAGGAAACTGGCAATGTCACATCTCAAAGCTCGATCTGTCAAGGGTGCCTATGATGTTAGAGCGAATAAATGTCAACCTAAAAATTCATCTGTGTGACAACTAACCCTGGAACTGTCCAATTCTCTTTAAACAGATCTGTAATTTTGCAATAGGTACTGAATTGAAAGTATAAAAAGGATATTTTTTTAAAAAAAATCTCATCAGTCTTAACAGATATTCAATTCAACATTTTATTTATTTATTTATTTATTTATTTATTTTGGTGAGAACCTAACATTTGCTAGAACATAAGAGGTTCAAGATTTATGAGATGAAAAGACACTTGGATAATATGCAGACCTTCCAAGAGAAGAATGCTATACTAATTAAAGACAAACATACAAATTGACCATACTTTTGCTATGCCTCAAGCCACGCCCACCAGCCAATCAAAATGACCATATGCAAATTAACCCAACCAACATGGCGGCTGGCAGTCACGGAGCTGGAGCGAGCAGTGGGCTTGGTTGCCCCAGTGATGGAGGAAGCCAAGGTTCCCCGCCTGCCACGGCCCAGCTCTGAGATCCACTGGAAGCAACAAAGTTTCAATTATAGAAGGTAAACAAACCCCAGATAACTGCTTTCAGCCAGCCGTGGCACCA